TTACAAAACCACAGCAGGTTGAATTTGGTTCACCCACCGTTGTTTGCTAATCTGATATAGACCATTATTTCTAATATACTCTAAAATATTTATTTTATCATATGGCATAAAACAAAGACGTTCATGAGAAGCATCTCCAAATTAAACCAATTTTTACATAAACTTTAAAATAACAATCATCTCTACAATATATCTTATTTGACCTTTATAACCCAAGCTGGAGGGATAGCTAGGCAGGTATATATTTTTTCTATTATGACTCAAAAAGGTTAAGTGGCTTGTTAAGAATCACAAAGCTAGTAAAAGGCACAGCTAGTTAACAGAAAACCAAAAAGCAAGCCCTGAGAAAGGTCTGTTCCCCATTCCAGTCCACTGTATTATTTCACTATTTTTGATAACAATTTCTATTATAAGTCAACATATTTAAGGAAATAAATCTATCCCAAAATAAATATCATTTCTCTATCACGAAAGACTTTTTTATCAAATATAAATGGGCAGAACTTTTCATACCTTTCTCTTTTCTAGAGATGATATCACTTGGTAGAAATGAGTTTTTAGTAATCACTTTAGGACACTGTAGTTCTTGGACACACATTTTTGTTTCACATTTCGTAGGATTTTCTGGTGGTAGATAACTTAATGTATCAAGTAAATAAGTAGGGCTATCATTCTCCAAATAGGACTCTTCAAGAGTAGATTTACTGTCTTGTATACACTTTTGTTCCTTTTTGGATATATCAATGATTTTTTGGTGCTTTTTGGAAAATTCAGCCAAGGATTCCAGTGCACTTTCAAAAGTTGAATGGTGCTGAATCTGCTGCCTTATCCATTTAGAAAGTCCTAAAGAAAAAGTAAACCCAGAGGTATGTGTAAGATAGTATGTATTAAGAAAAAAACTACATTTTTCTAATGAAGTAATCTAATTTGCATTTGAATATTCAGAATGATTTTCAATATTTTTTCCTACAATTTTATTTTATATGCACACGATTTATAATGGGGTTATATCTTGGGAAACCCATCATTAAGCTGAAACTATT